GCCCGGCAGCGAGAGGCCCATGGCCTCGATGGCGGTGGCCATGGTGTTGGCCGTGTACATGCCGCCGCAGGCGCCGGCGCCGGGGCAGGCGTGGCGCTCAATGTCCTCCATGACGTCGGTGGGCGTGCGGCCCTCGGCGCCGGGGTTGCACTTTGCGTGGAGGCGGTTGTAGGTGAGGGACCCGCGGGCCTCGTAGCAGGTGCTGATGTTGATGGGCTTCTCGAGGAGGTCGGAGTGGCCCTTCATGATTGTGCCGCCGTAGATCATGATGAAGGGGCGGTTGTGGCGAGCGGCGGCCATGATGGTGCCGGGCATGTTCTTGTCGCAGCCCGGGATGGAGATGTTTGCGTCGTGGTGCTGGGCCATTGTCACGGACTCGATGCTGTCGGCGATGATTTCGCGGGTCTGAAGGGAGTAGCGCATGCCTTGAGGAGGCTTTGGTTAGCTTGCGACATGAAAAGGATGTTTTGTTGGTAGAGAAGCATCTCACCTTCGCCGCCCATGGTGATGGCGTCTGACACGCCCACGGTGTTGAACTGCCAGCCGAGCATGCCCTGCTTCTCCACTGCTTTTTTCACGATCCTACCGAACTCGAGGACTTTGTTCCGTCAGCCATCATGCAGTGTTCGTGTCCTTGATGCACAGTGATGCTCACGATGTGTGCTGTATCGCGTGTTAGCTGGCATCATCACCACAGCTCAGGGAGTCACTTACTTGCAAGGGTTGCCCTCCCACCACACCGTCGCGATGCCGACATGCGGCGCATTCTTCATCATCTCCGGGTTCGGCACGCCGGCGCCGTACAGCATGGCCTGCAACCTTTGGTAAGCTTCTGGTTCTCTTCCCAGCTCTCGTCTGAGGCTGTCGCGTGTACCCCGCGGTCCCCGCGGTGCACCACCCCGCACTCCCACACACACCACACGACATCACCGGCCACCACCCCGCATTCCCCAACTCCCACAGAGCCCAACTCTGAAAAGAAGGTTCCTCCTTTTGGGTTGTTGTTGTAATGTGTCTTGACTTGCCTTTGCTCCCGGGAAGTCATGTTCACGCGTCAAGACGTGAGACCAGCGGTTCAACGGGCCTCCGGGGGGCAGTGTCTTGAACTGCAAGTAGTCGGCGCTGTCCTTGTAGCTGGTGTCGCTGTAGCCGCCGTCGTGGCCTTGGCCTGTTTGCTCGGCGCTCATTGTGATGGTAGCTTTGCTTTTCTGTTTCGTTTGTTTGTTCGTTCGAGGCTGAGGCGTTTCGAGCTGCGTCGTTGGTGAGGTGTTTCAGTCAGGTTGGTGTGTTGGTTTTACGTCGCGGGGGAAGAGAGAGTGAGGGAAAGATTGGACTGTGGCCTCGAAGTCGGCTGTGTATGTTTGCCGAGGTAGGGCGTCGTCTGTTGGTGTACGGAAGACGATGTCGTCAACGAGTCGTGGGGTATTATGAAGGAGGCATCTACTAGGTAGAATCGTGTGGGACGATGGTGAGGCGAACGGGGGGGCAGTGACTTTATTTGAACTCTGTTTCTCGCAGCAACAAGCAGCAGAGGAAAGAGAGGAGAGCTCTCCAAAGGCGGGGGAGAAGCACCCGACTTTCGCATCACAGGCTACGGCGGCGCTCTCCCTCCCCCACCAAAGCTCGGGGGGATAGATCCGCTCGGGAGAGATCCCCCCTTGGAAAACCTGGAGCTGCTGCTTATTGTGTGCATTTCTATTGGGAGAGCTGCCGACGCGCTCGAGGCCGGGTCCAGAGTCGTCGGGTGATCCCAGCTTTCATCGGAGGGGGGAGTCGGGGTGCTGTCCGCGGGCGGGAGTGGGGAGCAGCCAAAGTCAATTGATTTTTTTTTTGTTGGTCCATGAGTAGGAGAATTGGATTGGATGGAGGGGTAACGGGGCAGAGGGACACGGAAAAAGGAATTGGGAGACGGGAGATGAGTTGCGGAAATAGCACTGGCTATTCCGAAGTCGACGCTCGGATTCCAAGGCATCTGAAGTCAAGATGGCGTCGTCAACGCTTGAAGACGAGCAGCATTATTGCTTACGGCGTTCTCTCCGGCATATTATTGCCCGACTCCGCCATCGGCATCACAAAATCGTAGGTTCCTGATGTTGCTAGACCTGCATGTAGCTTAACGAGCTGGGAGTACGGACGGCGTAGTAGGTTGATTGGATGGTATTGAGCCGATGAGGAGGAGCCAGACAGCAAACAACTTTGCTTGCGGAACGTCCTGTCTTTCTTAGCTCCTTTTAGCGGCATCAGCTAGCCGCAAGAGTCTTCTGGACGTTGTGCTGTGCTGTTGTAAGCATCTGAAAGTAGATGCATACGTTTTTTTTGAATGGCGTCCAGTGTCGTCGTCCAGAAGTTGTGGGAGACGCAGACTTCTCCACAGAAGCAGCGTCCAATCACGGCAAAGGTATTTCATTTGTTGTGTTAGGTAGTTACAGCAGGTGGGGTCTTTCAAGCACCTAGTCGTTCTTTCTGGATTTGGAGACTTGGCAGAAGGGCATTTACTGCAACAGCCATTCGCAGCAACACTTGAACACATTCATAAGACTCATCCAGAGCGCTTGCTTGCTTGTAAGGCTGCTCGCTCGGGGAAGCGTGTTCATCCCGCCCGAGAGTACGCCGGGTTCCAGAGCCAGCCCGAGTGAGAGGCAACTCGGCGAACCCAGTGGCAGACTCGCATCGTGACTACATGTCTGGGCGGTCCGATCTTCGGTGTCGAACGCCGCGAGCCAGCTGCATCTCGACGGACTCTCCGCCTCTCCCGCTTCCCCGCATCCAAGCTTAGCTCAAAGATCTCAAGAGAGACCTCAGCCCGCGTCTGGGCGTTGCAGTATTGATGCATCCTCATTTCCGCCCCCCTCTCACTGCTGCACTCGTGTGTCTCGCGTGCGGCGCTTGTGCATATTCTCACGAGTTGCACTCACACATCCAAGAGCACTTTGCAAAGTAACGTAATTGACCATGGAAACTTTCCGTGACCTCTCCGTCCCAAGGTAGAGGAAACGCAGTCCGCGCCAAGACCTTGTCGTGTTGCGTAACAGAGGGTTGGGACACTGGTGAGCGGGCATCACCCTGACGAAAGCATCTAGCTAAACCAAGTCAAAGGGGCCAAGGATGGGATGACACTCTGTTTGACTCTTTTTGTTTGGATCGACGGCCGGACCATATCATGGCAGTGAGGTCATGCGGGCTGTCGGAAAAGTACCAATGGGGGACGGAGGGAGGGCAGTTCATCTGTCCATCTGCCAAAACAAATCAAAACCGTAAACTCGTTGCCGTCGTCCGAGCTATCCGTCCAACTCTCTTTTACCGCGAGCAAAATCCCACGTTTCGGAGTCCAGACGGATGGCGCAGCCCATTACGAAGCTTCCACCCTCTCGAGCTGTGCTTCCAGGGACAATGCTTGGCGGTTGACTGTTCCAACAAGGCCAAAACCATTTATGCTTCAAGACATTGGAGAAAAGAAGGTTTACGTGGTTGGGGGGTGTGGTGCCGTGTGGTGGTGAGCGGACACCTTGCGACGGGTTGTAACCGAGACTTGCGCATCAGGAGGCGAGGGATACGAAAAACCATGTATCCGTACGTACATGCCGCAGGCTTGAATCGCTTCATGGAGGTCCATCAGCCACATATACGTATCTTCATCCCGATTCTCAAAAGCATGTCACGCACACCCACCCACCTCTTGTTGATCGTTTCCCAAACTCACCGTGAACTTCACACACCAACAACATGTACGTAGTTTTTGTCTGGAATATAGTGTCCAAGCAGTATTTTCCCGTGGGAATATTTGCCGATGTAGCCGCATGCTCTCTCTTTCCCTCTCACTCATCAACCAAAAACCGTTTGATGTAGGGACGTTTTGATCTTTGAAGCAAGTCCTGGAACTTGATCAAAGCACCCACCCTCTCACTCCAAAAAGTCAACTATAGCACTGATCTCAAGCCGGCACCTAAAGATAGCACAGTATCTTGACACCCTCGAACAAATCGTCCAGTCTTTTTGATGTGTGGAAGGATTCAAGTGCCAAACGCCACGCTTAGACGACTTGCGACTGATCATCGTCATCTCACCGCCATGGCTCATGTTTTCTCTTCACTAGTTGTAGCATCATTGTAGCAAGGGGGATATGGGCGGACACAGAACACATGCACGCACGAGAGAGCAAAAGTTGTTTCTCAAAACTCTGATTCCTTCAATTCGCCGTTTTGAAAAAGTAAAAAAAATGAGAAAAAAACACAATCGTCGTCTGCATGATAGTTCCCTCTTGCGGAACCCCGGATGGGTTAACCGCTCTAGTGTACAAAAAAACGCAAGCCATACGGGCAATGGACGATGAAAGCCATGTTTGTATGCGAGGTGTGTGTGCGTGTGTGTGGATTTGTTTTGTCATCACTTCATTTCTGCAATGGGTGTCGGTAAAAAGATGCCTCCCCGAGAAGATGAAAAGAAGAAGTGTAAAATGCCTCCGCACTGTCGCCGTCGCCGCCAGCCGGCCCAACCGCTCAATTGCCGGCACCAAGATAACCCTCGCATGAGTCGAGTAGACTCTGATGATCCCTTGGGATAAGGGACATGTTGTTGAAAAAGAAAAAGAAATGCAGACTCTGTTCCCCAGCCCGCAGACCACCCCTCCTTTTCCTGCGCCGAATGTCAACCACCGTCCCCTGCAGCCTCCCAGTCGTGTGTGTTCGTGTGCGATGTGTGTGGTGAAATTCGAAATTGGCGCGACAAGCAACTTGACAACCGAAAAAGTGGAAAAGTGAAAAAGAGACCAAAAACGGACAACAGAAGAAGCGTCAGAAAATAGATCAGACTCCCGAAGGAGTCGGCCAGCAGAAGCGAAGAACAGGGCTGTGTGGCTCGATGCTGTTAAGTCTTCTTGTGCTCACATCAGGAAGAAGCAGAACCTCAAGCAAGAATCAGACACAAAAAGGTATGAAGTAATACACTGATAGAAGAGAATTCCTTGTCGGTGGAGTGCGGAAGGCCATGATGATGATGATTATCTAGGCTCCGACTCTCTCTTCCTCCATGCGCCTGACGAGCTCGCGCTCGCGGGGAGAGCGGGGGTTGGCGTCGATGCCGAGAATCGCAGAGATGCGAGTCTTGTCCTGGGGCTTGCCGTAGGTGTCACGGTCCATGTTATCCGGGCTGGAGGTCGGGGTGATGGGCGTGCTAGCCTGGTTGCAGCAAGAGCCGTTCTTCCAAGCGGACTCGAGGACGACGGGGTTGGCACCCGGGCCGTAGTCGTTGGCGACGGCGGCCCAAAAGGAGGCGCGGTGGGCAGTGTATACGTTTTGGAGGCGGTTCATATCAACGTGCTGGTGGTTGACGGGAGGTTGCTGAGGGGCTGGCAGCGTGCACTCCAGACGCAGCGGGGGCGTCATGGGGAGGCTGCTGGACATGGACTGGAAGGAGGCGGAGGGGAGGGCCGCGCTGTGAGGCTCCGGGAGGGGAGTGGGATATCCTCTCGAGGGAGAGGCGGTACGGGGCGGCAGGGTCATGCACACCGGCTTGGGGAGGATGGCGGGGAGACGCGGCGAGGCGCCGTGGCCCATGATGCTGGGCAGTTGCATGGGAGCAGGCGAGACAGGCGCGAAGCTGTGCGAGCTGCCCGGGGGAGAAACGGAGCGAGGAGTCGACTCTCGGATCGGGGAGGGCATCGTGGGCTGCATGACAGGGGAGTGGTTCGCGGAGGAACCAGACGAGACCGAAGTCGTGCGCTGCTTGCGGCGGTTGCTGCCGTGGCTAAGCTGGTGGTAGTGCAGGCGGCAAGCCAGCTCGGTCTTCTTCAAGTGAGCGGCAATGTGCTTGTAGGGCATCTTCTGGAGACGAGTCTGGAGGAGATAAACTTCCTGTTTCTCGTGTTAGAACAGTCATCAAACCACACATAATGCCGAGAAGGCGGGACGCTTGGGGCCACACAGCCACGTAAGGGGGTGGTGGTATACGTGTGTAAGCTCCCTTCCCCAGCTTGGTGTCACGTACCTCGTCCTCGCTCCATGCTCGGCCTCCTCCAGTCGAAGCCGCCTTGCGGTTCTTGGTAACGCCGTACTCGTGACGGTCCATGGCATCAGAGGTGGGAGTGTAGGTGGTGGTGTGGGGCGCGAGTTGCATCGTGGGAGACATTTTTCCTCGTAAAATCGTTTGACGGGCAATGAGTTCGATGGTAAGAAAGTGTGAAGCTCTGAAGGCTTGGTTGGTGTGTTGTTGGTTGGTTTCCCTTGGAAAGAATCTGTGGAAATCTTCGCGCGTCTTCGCGTCGTCCTGGAAGCTGGGTTTGTAAGAAAGGGGGGTGAGCAGAAGCTTGCTGCTATAGAGAATCGAAGTTTTAAATCGGGTGGTTTCGAAAATGGAGGTGATTCCCAGGCCGGAAGCTCGCAACAACGAAGTCGGCTTTCTGCAGATCCGTCAAGGAGAGGAAACGGATAAGCGTTTTGTTGGTTGAAGGGGTAAGGCGCTGTAAAAGGGAGACCCAAAGAAGTGAAGTCGTTCGTTTGAATAAACCGGATAGGTCAAGTATATTGACAAAAAAGGTGGTGTTCAAGAAGCGTAGTCAAATGAGTGTGTGCAGCCAAGCCAGTTGACAATGAAGGAAAGTAAAACCCTAGCTGCGGGAGAAGAAAAGAAGGACACGCAACTGCGCTTCAAGAAGACGAAAAAAAGGGATGTTGATGATGAACCCAAAGTAGGGAGAGAAAGTAAACAGGAAGAATGGAAAACGATCGAGACGGGGGGAGAGGGGAGGATAAAGTAATAATGCAGCCTCTCAGCCGTTGGTGGTGGTGGTGGTGGTCTGGTCTAGGTCTACTAGTCCCCGTCTGGTCTGGCAATTGGCTGGCAGGCAGAGAGAGGAACGAAAAAAAAAAAAAAAAAAAAGGGACAAGCATGTTGTCTACCGCAGTATGAGAGCTGCAAGGTACGAGGTACGAAGCCAGCAAGCAGGCCTGGCCTTACCCACACGCACACGCACGAAAAGAGAAGAGAGAGCGGGCGGGCATGGCAAACATTGCCTCATGATGTTCGGGCGCTGGCTGGTACATCCAGGGCAGGGGTCTAGCACACCGTCAAGTCTAGCCCTGTTGCAGATATTGAGCAGTGATGCCAGCAGACCCTGGAGAAGATGGGGTGGATGTGACAGAATTAGCAGAGCATAACGTTTGGTCTGATCCGCTGGCCTGCTGCCATCCCCATTCTTCCCTTTTTCCTTCCCTTCGAGGGCGACGAGGGGTGTTGGACTGGGAAGAGGGGGGGAGGAAGAGAATGAGAGACACCAGACACCAGACACGCCCAGCACGCTTGTGCAAGCCACACCCTGTCCGGGCCACACCCCTGTTCGAGGCAGGAAGAGGAGACGAGGAACCCAGACCCAGACCAAGACCGGCCATGGGTGCAAGATTATGGATCCGGTGAGAGACGAACGTGCGTCTCAAATTGGCGGCGGTGGTGATGGATTGAGAAGTGAGCAGCCACTCGACCGGCCAATACGTGGATGATTGCCCGCAACAAGATGTCGCCCTCCGGAGGCTCGGATACATACGGCCATTGGACCAGGTCTAGGACTTGAAGCATAGACCAAGTTTACCAAGTCTCCGGGGGCCCGTTGAAGATGAACAACTCCAGGTCCCTTGGAGGCAGACCAGGGCTGGAATGAGAACAGACCAGACCAGACCAGGCTCAGAGAGGGGACGGGACGGAGAGGAGCAGAGAGGAGTAGGAGGAGGCTCTTCTCGTGAACCTGGAACATGGGAAAACTTGTAAAACGACTGAAAAGACCGCGCAGCGTAGCGTCCGGCTACCGAAAAGAGCGGTGTCTCGCCTCCAGTTTGTTTCTTCATTTTTCCGTTATTGATGTGACTCCTAGTCTAGTGTCGGGCGGCTCAAGAAACCTGGTCTGAGCCCGCCCTGACGACTCCATCTAGGACAGGCAGGCAGATTCAGATTCATCAGAGCCTCAAAACGGGATCCAGTTCTAGTTCCAAGTCCGGTTCTGGTATTGGCATGTATTCGTAGCACGCATCCCACAAGTCAGGTTTGCAAGCATCTTGGTTACCCACCGGTCGGTTTTGGTTTCGGTCACGGCACATGGGCGGTGGATCTGTTCATGACTTGGTGAAGGGTGAGTCTGAGTCTGATTCTGATTCCCGTCTCTCGCAAACTCTCTCTCGCAAGCATGCCGAGCGAGCGGGTGGGAAAGCGGCTGAGGCGCAATTGTATGAAGGGCATTGTATAGATGGGGCATATGGGAATAGGATGGCGTGGCATGACAAGACATGGCATGGCATGGCCGAAGTATGTTTGGCAGGGCCTTTCTTGACTCGGGAACAAACCATGGTGGACGAAACCACGACAAAGTCGGCACCGTCAGGCTGGGTCGGGTGGTTCTTCGCAACAAGGAAGAGGGCGTTACTATTTGGGGCGGGCGTCTGGTCTCAAGTCGCGATAAGCATACGTCTTGTCGACGTCGATCTCGTGGAGGAGCATGTTTCGCGAGGATAGGAAGGGTTGGTTGTCGTGAACGGAGGTGTCTTTGGTGAGGACAGGACAGGGATCGAGTGGAAGAACCGAGGCGGTGCGGTGCCGTAACGGCCGTCTGCTGGCCGAGGTGGACGGCGATGGATGCCGTTGAGCGTTGAACGTTGGTATGTGCGAGGAGGGTAGTACGTATGCGTGAGGTCAAGTGAGATCAGGTAGGGAGTCGGCGGGTACAGGTTGCATACATTCGCGGCATATGCCCGTTCAAGCAAAGGACGGGGTACTGAGCGGGTTTCTTGGGAATTCCGAGGTGGTGATACGGCGTGGTGGTGGACAGAGGACGGTGCGTGCGTGCGGTGAGGTGCTGCGGGCGACGTCGTCGTACCTTTCCTCAAGGCACGGCAAGTTCCAACGGCCGTGCATTACAGCATTGGCATTGGCATTGGCAGCAGGCACTGCGTAAGGCTTTCGTCAACCACCACCTGGTGTTGGTTTGGGTGTTTGTGCGGTGCTGGTGCTGTTGTTGTGCTGGGTGCTTGGTGCTTGGTGCTGGGTGCTGGGTGCTGCTGGGCATCGTATCGTGTTCGCTCGTGTCTGAAGGTTGTATGAGGATGTCTGTCTGACGTTTGACGGCGGGGTCGAGCGATGGCCAATACTGCATGGTACCCGTCGAGGTGTTACAGAGGCGCGCCAGGCGCTGCCATTGGCCCGTTTTCGCGGCCGCCCCTGAGAGATGCCTGCAGCAGCGTCAAGAGGAGATGGGCACTAGGCCGAAACAGGTCTAGTCAGGAACGGCCTAGCGCGATGGCTGATGCCCCACGCCCCGATTTTGAGCCACAGCCCGAGCGATGAACACCACACTGCACCGGTGCGGCGGGGCCGAGAACCCCTGTTCGTTGTCTCCGTCGCACCGTAAGAGCCTCCAAAACGGGAACATTGCGACCTGGGAAAACCAACCAGCGCCCGAGCCGCCCGCCATTGCATTCCATTCGCATTGCCTTGTGTAGTGGGCTTGCTGAATGCTGCACATTAATACAGCTCCATTATCAACTCTACCCAGCTGTTTGGTTTGAAGTCTGGCCCCTTCCCTCGGCCTGCCTGCGACCTTCTGTAGCACTACTCAGGACGGATACTACCTAATTTGCAAGTACCAGGAGCGGGAAGAAGGAGTTAGAACAAAGTGGCCTGTACTTCCACTTCCACTTCCATACGGGGGTGAGGGGAATGACGAGAGAGTGAGTGAGATGAGTGTGTGATCTCCCTCGCCAACGACAGTGACGCATCGGCATCGAAACATGAGGCTGTTTCTTGTTCGTCCCTCTGTGACGACGCCTCGGCACCTGCTCAGTGTGCCCTGTGTGTCAGTGTTCTGAGACTGCCCAGTGCTCTCCTCGCCCGACCGTGATTGGACCACTGACAGCCATCCATTGTCACCAATACCCTTAGTGTTCCTGGATGGGTAAGGTAGGCAGGCTTAGCTAAGGCATTTGCATGTTTGTCGATATTGGCTACCCTACCTTTCCATCGCACCTGCCAGCATTGAACCTTGGAGCGTCCCTGGCGATGCACCCAAAAACAGTATCCCCAGGTACATTCTATAGCTGAACACACCATTGTGCACTTGCACTGCATTCTTGGACGCAATCGGGTGTTTAAAAGTCTCCGTACCTTATGTGAGGCCCTATCAATCCCCCGGCGATGCACAGCACAGGTGGGTGGTGTCACGCGGGCGTGCCTGCTCAGCTGCTGCTGCTATTCATAACGCTCGATAAACATGCGGCCAGGGCCGGAAGAGATGAATTAGCACATGCAGGACCGCATTCTGTAGGCAATATAGTGGCAGGAAACATCTGCCAAAATAAATCCCCCGGCCCTGCTGAACAAAACTGACAGAATCTGTCCTCACTGGATCCTTTTACCAGCCCTGGCTGAGCCCTTCGCTGCGTCTTGATTGAGAACACACCACTTTCCTGCCAAGATGTGGAGAGGGCAATAAAAACGCTTCACCTGTTTTCGTAACGACAGCACAATTAAAGGATAGTCGGTTTCTACAGTCCACTGTCCTGTCCTGTCCTATCCTGTCCTGTCCAGCTGCGTGCCAGGGATCCCCAGATGCTCCATCCTCGAGTTTCTCAGTCGCGGGCGGCCCTGGGCCCACGGCCCTTGAAACTCGCTAACAAGCAGGCGCAATTTCACCCACGTATCAGCCCTTTCCCTCTTGGTCGCCCTTGGCTCTTTTTTTTGCCCACCCCCATCACCCACCGCCCACTTCCACCACTTCACCACCACTCACCACCACGCATCACCACGCAGTTCGTGACTTGCCTCAATCAACACACGCCCGTCCTACCCGACTGCCACCATCCTCCACCCTCCCGACCCGACGACGTCGTCAACCACCACCACCGTGGCCAGTCATCATTACCACGCCGCACACAATCGGCAGGGCTCAACCCAAACACACCACCTCCCACCTACCCCCAAGTGCCCTACGACACGCCGCGAACAGACAGCCGACCGCCCCTCCCCTCGCTCGACGGGACGAACATGGATTCTGAGAAACAACAGAGGGGCCCTAATGCAGGAAACCTTATTTGTTTCTCGAGATCTCTGCTGAATCTGAATCTGGCTCGGACTGTCTGACTTCTTCCACC